AGGAAAATTTGCAGAGACTATTCGAGTAAGCTTAAGAAATTCGTAACTACTTTTTTTGCAAGTTGATTAGCTCCATTCAAACTCAAATCCTTGAATCTAGTAGGGAACTCGTAAATAGCACTAATGCTTCTAGACAGGTATTTTTCTCATACTTGCAAAATGCACAAACCCACAGACACTTCAATTTTATTCATGTCATCATTCTATTTATTGAATTCAAATTCTAACAACATCCCTACTCCTTCTCCCAACTAAAATCTCAGGCAAACAAGTCCTCAAATAAACAAAGGTAAACAAACGGTTTTTGTATACCATGGGAGGAAAGGATGATGAAAAACCATGAACCCTAAATAAAACATGAGTTACACATATCCCTTCCACAAAATCTGTACCATTCATCTGTTTAGATTAAGATTTAAATCGTGGTAAATCTGAATCAATCATTCATAATAGAGAGATCAATAGTCAAGATTTTGTGTAACAATTATGTAAGTGAATCTTAACACAAAACATACATACATACCTGCATTTTGGATCAAACTGGAAATGATTATTCAAACAATTCATCCAAACGCTAGTCCGTCAGCAGTCGGAGGTGAGAGGTGCCGGTCGATCACATCCTTCTGATAGGCATTAATGGGCTTGAAAAGAAAGTTGATAATGAAAAAAAAAAAATCAAATTGAAATATTTGGAACTAAAATTAGTAAAATGTGGAGAAGTAAATTGCAATTTAAATGTAATGATTCTTGACCTGATGGTGAAAAAGGAAACTTTTTTACACAAATTGTCAAATGAACTTTTTTACCTTAACTGCAACAGTTAATGGATCCGGCCAGGAAATTGGAACTATCTCCGGGCACTACTCCGGCTATGAGAGTAGTAAGGGATTTCTGCGCAGTGGAAGCCACATCTAGCGTCTCCAATTCCGAAAACCACTTTCCAGATGGTTTTTGCGGTCACTGGGAATGGATAATAACATCTGGAAGGAGGTTTTCGGCGCCGAACACACCAGTTATAACCTCTTTTACGTTTAAAACGTACCCTTTTTGCTAATGTTGCGGTCGCCTCCCGCCTGTATCTCCGGTCAGCGGCGATAACAAACGAAGAGGAAGCAGAGGAAGTCAAGAAAGCCGCTGAAGGTGCAAGGATAAACGAACAATTTTGGGTTGTTAGGCCTAAGACTTCCTTTTTGTCCAATTTCGCCCTCAAACTTTATTTTTAGGCTAATTAAGCCTTTACTACAAGTCAATACTTAATGCCCTTGTTGAGATTTAAAATATTTAAACCAAGGTTTCTTGCTTTCTTAAGAGTGGTTTGTTGTGATTAATTGTTGAAATTTGTTTTTTTTGGTATATTTTGTACTTACTTGTATTAAAAAAATGGTTTAATTTTGAAATTAAATATTTTTATTAATGTGTCCAGTGATTATATTGTATATGAATGTTAAGGAAGGTTTATGTGACTATTTATGTGCATCAATCAATGATACATTACTCATATTGTTAGGATGAATTTTTTTAACATTCAAATATGTAATTCAATTGCTTAAGTTAATTTGATAATTAAGACATTATATTACAATTATGTTACAATCATGTAAAGTCATTTGACCTTCTACAAAACATGGTTTATAAGAATTTAAAAAGCTCATAGAAAAATTATGAGAAAGAACTAAGCTAGGGCAAAATTGTAAAAAAAAAAAAATCAACTCCTTGTGTATATTTAGTAAAATATTTGTCTACCGGCCTCTCAAACTTTTAGTAGAAATTCCGATGCGTTTCCATTAGACTAAGTGACTAACCCTTAGTCTTGTGACGCCATTTTGCATTTCAACCTTCTTCTAAGTTTTGACTTTTACCTTCTTCAAATTCAAGAGCCTTTGTATCAATAATCTCAGCCTCTCCTTCCTATTCTCCCTTCTCTCCTTCAATTTATGGTTCTTCAATCCCATTTTCTCACCTTTCATTTCCTTATCTCGATATATTCTACTCCTCTTTAGCGTCATTAACCTTTGATTTCTCATTTGCTAGCCTTTACGAGATTGTCTACTTTGGAGCATAATTTATTTACCAAAGTGATATTGCTTGTGCTGTTTCTTTCTCCTATTGAAAAGTCTACAAATTGATGTTGTGATGTTTCTTTCTCAGGTTGTGAATTTAATTTATAATATTTAATCCAATAAGCAAAAGTCCACGACGATGAAGAAGGTATTAATCTAATAAGTAGCTGTTATAATCTGATTTTTTTTACCCAATGTTTTCTTTTACGGGGAAGTCGAAAAAAAGAAAAAAAAAAAGAGAGAAAGAAACAAGGAAAAAAAAATAGAGAAAAGACAACAAAAAATAATAATAAATGATGAATAGGCCATCAAATTTGGACCCAACTTGGACCCATTCTTAAAAAAATTTGCTGGCCCAATTTAATGGAGAAAGCCCAACTCAAGTCTTCAAAAACCCCAACATCCATTTTCCGGAGGAGGTCTTCGTTCCTCAACAGCGTCACTCCCCTTTAGATTCAGAGAAAAATGGAGAGAACTCTCAATACTTCTCCATCATATCGCCAAATTCATTCCGTTGTAACTCCGCCTTGATTTATTTGATATCCTGTGATTGTTAATTAAATGACACTAATTAGTATTCCTTTTCATTCAACGTATTAACACAAA